GCAAATACTTGGAATTAGCTTCACGAACTTTATTGAATTATTGGAAAATTCAATTAAATAGAAATTTTTACTACATGATTTTTGAATTTTCGATGTCTTACTTGTTGTTTAATTGGTGTCGATATTTGTTTTGATTTTTTTTTTTCTTCTGATTGTTGTCGTACACGTATTAAACTTCGTCTTGAATCATTATTCATACTTGTACGACCACCAAAATATGCACTTGTAATATTCATTGTACCTAATTTTTTTGATAAATCTTCATATGCAAATAAATATCTATAAAAATAAAATAAAATAAAATAAAATAAATCATTTAATTATTTTTTTTTTTGTTATTTTATTACTTTTTATAAGTATTTTCAATTAATCGACCATTTTTTGGTGCTGAATCATTTGGTAAACCCATTTTTATATAAACTTTATTCCATTGATCATTTTTTGTAACCTAAATTAAAGAAAAATATTATTAATAATAGTTTAATTAAACATGAATTTTATTTCGAACCTTATTATAACCACCTAACATACTAACTATTTTAAATAAACGATGAAGATCAAGATCATAATTATGAATTTTAGGTATATTGTTTATTGGTGTACCTGTAACATATAGAATAGAAATATGTATTTTAAACAAAAAAAAAAGATAATTAAAATTTTAATAAATAATATTAAAAATTCAATTTATTTTAATTTCCCCTTTTGTTTTTTTTTTATTATTCTTATAATTATTATGTAAAATGAAATATATGTAATCGATAATGTTTAATTTAATTAATAAAGACAATGATTACTATTACGTTCGAGAGAAAAAAAGAAACATTAGATTTACTTTCAATATTTCGTCCTTCAATAACAATAACTAACGAGGGAACTGTGCCAGATGACGCACGCCATTTGTACGCATATTGCACTCACAGGTAGATCTCAATAAGACTAACAAAAACCTCGAAAAGTTTGTTCCCATGAAACTTTGGCGTTTTTAAGTACTTTCGAAAAAAATTCAACATCGCAATTTCGGTCGCCCATAGATACTTATGTTGAATATAAGAATGTTCCTTCGTCGAGTTAGGGGTCCATGGAGACGAACTCGGTTAGCCTCACTGTTACATCCTCCTGGACCTAAAATGACTGTTGTCAGTTGGTGTACCTCTCTCATGAATGAACTTATTTTGGGAATATTGAAATTCTAGTTTACAACTATATATATATATCTGTTCAAATTATAAATATAAAAGGTGAGGCAGAAGTCCTGATTCATATCATATTTTTAATGATGAACTAATTATAACTCAAACATTTATATTTCGAAAGCTCGAGTTTTTGTTGTTAGAAACACCATGAGTGAAAAGGGGGAAGGAGTACAAGTCTATCTGAGAATCAAAATATTTGAAAAGTTTCCTTGGGATTTTTTTGGAAAATCACTGTCTGATTTGGTTGATTAGATACATTTCCAAGTGAATTTGAAAATCCAACATCTTGAAGAAGGAACATTCTTTTTTGGTTAAAATTTTTAGCATATTCGATGGGAAATTTTTCCGGTCGAAATTCTGTAATTTCATTTTCCAGTAGATATCTAGGAAAGAGTCGAAGATGTCTAAAAATTTCGAGGTTTATAAAGTAGACATTGAACTACAATATGGTTCAATTGAAATTGAAAATACAGCTAATCAGACGGTGATTTTCCAAAAAATCCCCTAGAAAACTTTTCCAAGTATTTTTTGATTTTCAGGTAGACTTATACCTCCACACATGCTCTTTTTAATAACAAAAACCCGAGCTCAATAGCTATCAGCATTGTCGAGTTATTCAACGAACAATTGAATCCATTCTTTTTTGAAATGGATAATAGATATAACTGTTGTCATACATTAATTCTGTTTTCGAAATGAAATTAGAATTGAAAAATTAATTTTTCTTTGATTTTAATACTTCTTAAAGGTATTAGTTTTTTTTGTCGTAAATTGCTCTTAGTATATCGATTTTTGAATAATTTTTATTTTAATATTCGATTTATTCTTCCCTCTCAGAATCGATTTACCACTAAGAAGGGATCGTTTGGGCTGAAATTTACAGGAATGAATGATCCAGAATTTTGAAATTTCTTTCCATTCATTTTTTTATGAGCATTTTAGCAGATATGGTGTTAAAGTAAGCATTAAAAAACAAGATGATTTCACGACAATCAATTGCACTTTTCTCAGTCCAGGAATCAAGTATCTTGTCGAACAAAAGTTAGCTTCGACACAAAACAAAAAATAATGGTTATAGCTTGAACCGAGTGGAAGTTATTTTCAATTTTCCTGCTTGGAAATCATGTTTTGAGAAAAAATGCTAAAGAAATTTGAATTTTTTTTTTATTCAAATCTAGAAAAAAATCTATACAATGCTAATGCAAGTGACAACGTAGTTTTTCCAAAACAGAAAACATTAAGTCTATGAAATTCTAATTGTTTTGCAAAAAGTCATATTTAGATATATATTCTGAAAGAGAAAGCTTCGATTTATCTTCCTATGTTTTTTTCGAATAATTGAGTTTTTCTAAGAAGTAAATCCCTCCTTAATTTACCTCTATCATCCATAAAAGCAAATAATTGTGCTATAAATGAATCTTTTTTTTCAATTGTATCATCATCACTATCATCAAAATCTGATTCACTTGAACTTGAATTACTATCACTTGTAGTATTTTGATTATCATGTATAATATTAGATTTTTTCTTTTTCCATATTGTTGGTATTTGATTATATTTAACATATTTATCACATGCTTTTGTTGCTTGTTTTGATGTTAAACGACATAATGATTGTATTCGTGAATTATTTTTATATGGTTCAACATCATTTATTTTATGAACAATATATTCTCGACCATTAAGAAAACTTTTAACCCATATATAATCAGATAATGTTTTACGTTTAAGTATTAATGCTGGAAATATATTTTGATTATTATGACGTCGTACAGCAACAATTGATGTTATATCATTATTATTCATTGTTATTGGTGATAATGATGATGATGATGTTGAAATATCTTCAAGAAGTTTTTGTTGATCAATACGTGTTTGATATAAACGTATACCTTGTAAACAAAGTGATGAACGTCTTAAAGATTTTTCATCACCATCATTAAATACAACTGTATATATACTATTATCATATATTTGTTTAATTATTGCTTGTTTTTCATTAGAATTATCATTATTATTAATTATTGTTGTTAATATACTACGTGAAAGATGTGAAGTTAAATCATAATGATTTGATGATGGTATACGTATATTTATTTTATTGCCAATACGTAATGGAATTGGTTGTACGATTTGTTCTTCAGATATTATTAATGTTTCATTTGTATCAATTAATATAACTTTTAATTTAACTTGTCTTTCAATTGTTTTAACTTGTGCTTTAAAATAAATAATAAATTGTTTCATTTTTTTTTTTTTTTAATAATAATCTTATAAGGGAAGTTTTTCAACTGATTGAATTACTTTAAAATTTGAACTATGAATAAGTTTAAGAAAAGCTCGAACTATTTACCTATTACTGCTGAGATACTATACTCTTACAGTAGTTTTCAAAATTTTCGACTTAAAACTTTACATAGACATGGCATTAATTTAAAATATACCGTTAGGCCTTTTTTCTTAAGCTATGTTCATTTTACTAAACTTCCAGCCTACAACAAGATATGATGAGAAAAATCGCAACAAGAAGTTTCAATTTGAAATCTCATCTAACTAACATGAACAGTTTTTAGAATTTTTATCTACAATAAGAGTTTTACCTATGAGAAAAAGATGATTTTAAACAGAGGTAATCAATTAGAAGAGTTCTGTTCTTTCAGAAACAACATGAATTATAAATGGGCACCTCAGGCTTTTGCAAAATTTTGAATTTAATTGCCGTCATTTCCCGCTTAGAAAAAAATAACAGATCTTCATTTGTTTGCATTGAGAAGAAAAACGCTCAAAACTGAGTTAACTTGACCTCTAATAAGCTTCAAAACACATTTTAGTCCTATGATTGCGCCATCCTTTTCTAAAGGTCTTAGATCTTTCACTGCTTGAAAATAAACCTTATGAAGAAAATGTAAAAGCATTTCAATCAATTTCATTATAGTCCATTAAAAAAAAAGTTCATCCAACCATGATAAAAAAAGAAGAACAATATCGAAAACGACGTAATTGACACGCATTATATCAATACGCTATTTTTTTTTTGTGTCCTTTCTTACTGATGACTATTCATAAATCATAATTACTGTTTTGGTTTGTCATAACGGTACGAAATATATGTGATAAATATAATTATTTTTTATAACAAAAAAGAAAAAAAGGGTCGGGACACCTTACATTTTCAAGCAACCGCAAATAAAACTATTTATTTTATGAAATTTCACAAGCTATAAAAGAAGTTTTTCAATACGAATGAATATTGTTCGAAGTTTGCTAATACTGACAGAATTGAATTGTTTTCGATGCAATCTAATTATGTTGATGTGTTTGGAGTAGTTCCGAAGTCCAAATTATCTTCAATTATGAGATAAATTTTGGTATTATAGATGACGTGACAAAAATTTTTATTAATAAAATAGATTCTGAAACTGTTTTCGTCTCGATTAATTTGAACTCTTTGTACTTATTTATAGTTGGAAGCGATATCATGAAGTAGTACGAACAAATACTTCAATATTCCTATTAATAAAAAAATTTACCTGAACAAAATGCTCCTCGATATTTTGCACTAACTGAACAACCGATTGGAAGGCAAGCTGATTCTATTAATGTAGATGTATTTGTATTTGTCTCATCGGTAAGCATGGACTGAGATGGTGTCGATGAAGATCGTCCTTTTCTTTCTCCGTGCATTCCGAATTTAAAAATATATGTGTATATATATATATATGTAAATAAATTCTATCTGAAAAAAACAAAGATCTTATTTAAAAAAGCAAAAACAAAAAAACAATTTTTTTTTTTTTTTTATTTTTAGTTTTGTTCAGTCACTGTTAATTTTTCTTTCATACAATGACATAATGATTGATCATCTAGAATAAAAATCATCCAAATTTTATATTTGATACTTATATGAAAATCTAAACTTACTACAACATTGATCTTGTTTTTGTTGCATTTCTTTTCGATAACGTTCAGTTTTTCCAATACCTAATTTTGGTATACCTTTATTAAGACCTTCAATTAATAAACATGCTTTACATATTGGCATTGATGAACAATATGAACATCGTTCACATATACGTTGTACAGGTAATTTTGTTGTTGGTTTAACAATTAATTGTTCACCACTATGTATAATATCAATTATTGATGATGGTCTTAAACGTTCTAAATCTTTTATATATGTTCTTATATTACCACGATATGCATTTGGAGAATAAATACATTCTGTAGAAAAATAATCCAAACGTTTATAAAATGCATAAAGAACAATTTCTTTTTCATATGCATATTTTAATGGTTTACAACGAGGTATAACAGAAACTTCATTATCATCAGATTCATCACCGGTTATTATTGATGTACATCGTTTAAGACGTGCTATATCACCACGAAGAATATTCATTAGAATTGTTTCAGCAATATCATCTGCATTATGACCTGTAGCTATTTTATTTACGGATAATTTCATTGCACCACGATCAAGAGCTTGACGACGAAATACACCACAGAATGTACCTGAAATAAACAAGCAAAAATAAATAGTAGTCTAAATTCATCTATCATTGAAATATAGTATTAATCAAAATAGATAGATATTTATATAGTTGTTTACATAGAATTCAAGATGTACAGAGTAGAGCAAGAGCTAGAAAGTTTTTGCTTAGTTCGGATACGGAAAAAAGCAAACTTACTCTACACAAAATGTATACTAATCGACAAGGTGTAAGTGACAAATTATATGCAAATGTATTTTTCTTTTCTATTGACTATCGTTTGTGTGGGCAAGTCTTATATTTCACGGCAAAGTTTTGTGTTGTAAAGAAAATCGATCACAATATTTCAAAAGATTAAAATTCTTACACTATTAGAAATTGCTTTTATATAGGCAAATATTCGCACTAAGCTGCACGTTTCCAATGATTGTATCAGTGATATAGGTCGAAAAAAGAAAGATTAAAATCGTACAGATCAAGGTCAAAAGAAATATATCATTTAATAATGTTAATAACTAGAGTAATCATCGAAATGTAAGTTATACAAGCAAATGAAAATCATATCGAAAATCTCATTATTGTTATATCCGACTACAATGAGCTGATAATCGTTACGGATGGTTTATTTTAATAAAATGGAAAAATATTATTTTCTCCGACGAATTTCATTTTTGAGTTTTTGTTCATCCATCTCTAATCACAAGCTGATATAGGGTATTCGATTTTTCCGACTGCATGTTCAAGGCAGAAATGTCCGTTGTGGCTCTTGAAGAGAGAAGGCTATCGCAATGTTTTTTGCGAAATTCTTCGGAAATCTCTTCTAAATTAACACAATTAGATTGAATCTATCAATTTTAAAGTCTTCTTTAAAGAAGAAGCTGCCGCTGCCACGATAGTATTTTTGAAACATCTCCCGCGCTGACGTGGTGTTAAAAATGAAGTGCCGCTAATGCCGTAGCGGTGGCGGCGGACCAGTGCCATAGAGAAAATCGGCCGGCCTACTGGCTTGACTTTTTTTTACTTGTCTCTTCTTTTCATCGAGGTTCTTGCCACATTCTTATTGATCCTAATTGATGTTGTTCATTAAATATATAAGAAAATTGTGTTGGAATTTCACGGAAGCAAATTATGCAAAAAAAAACTTTAATATGTTCCATATAGACAATTCTATAATTTTTTGTTGTATACATTTAATTATAGCTAGAAGTGGTAATAGCGGTCCAGTGCTGGTGTCAACTTTAAGCCGGTCGGTCTACCGGTTGCATGTATGCCCATCGCTATCACGGACCTATCTAGTTCAAGGTGAAAATGATTGAATTAGTCTTGTGAAAGTCATGATATATACACAAGATACTAAATTTCTATGATCTGAATCCGACAAAAAACCACAGATGACCTCTGAAACCAATTCAAAAGTCAAATTGATTTCAATTGTAAAATCTATCATCAGTTATATGTAAACATTTTTTTTTTGTTCATTAAATATTTCAAAACTTTAATATTGATTCTTCAAAAAATATATTTACTTACAATTATTCTTACGACCAACTGCTTTAACAATTTCATCCTGAAAAAAATAAATACATCTACTTTTTTGATACAAAATCCTACATGTCTTTTTACCATACTCCAACCATATAATTCTTTATATGTAAGAATAATTAATGGTAAATCATATTGTTGTTGATTACGTTTTACTGTCTCAAGTGAATCATCTCTATAACCAGTTATACCTTCATCAATTGATAATAAAACAAGATTAAGACCATAGGAATGTCGTTCATTAAGTAATTTTAATACATATGCAAGAACAGTAGAATCTAAATAAAATCATACGAATAATTATTTATTTAAAAGAAAGAAATTTTTTTTTTCTTGTTTTTTTTGTATATACCTTTTCCACCACTTGCAGCAATAGCAATTGTTTCTCCGGGTTTAAATAATTGTTCTTTAACAATTGTTTCATGTATTTCACGTTCGAATGCTTGAAAAAAACATATTTTACAATATGGTTCACTTGTTTTTGGTCGAACTAAAGCGGCTGATCGTTCTCCACGACATGATACACAAATTGTGCTCGGCATTAAATAACTGTAAAATTGAAATCAATCAACATGTAATACCATGACACACCAACGAGAAATCAAACAATGATGAATCATTGAAAATTCGACTAAACCAACAGAGATTTACTTGCAACAGATGGCACTTATTTACACCTTTGAAAAAAAAAAGAACAAGAAAAATACCTTTTGTTAAGTCACTTACCTTTCACAATTTTCTAGAAAAAACAAAACATATTTTGTTTTTCTTGAATAATAGAAAATTATAAATCCGAATATATTGATAAATATATACATTCAAAATACTTCAGTTTTTCAAGTCATCATTTTTGTTATGTCAAACAATTATTATAGACTCATACAATCAGATTTCGAATTGTAAATTTTCATAACGTGTACGATCAGTCGAAGTTGTATGTGTATTTTTTGTTGTTACGAACATTTTTTTAGACAATCAAAGTACGTAACATAGAGCCGATAGGTCCAAGTAGAGTTTTAGTGTAGGAATATGATAATACGAGAACTATGCGTATTCATCTTTTTATTTAATCATCGGACGTGTTCAAGAAGTGAGCTTTCAGAATTTTGCCAAAACTTACTGATTCGGATATTTTCAATTCGTTAGTTTAATGGTACAAGTGATGATTTATGGTCTCAATATGATTTATCTTTTAACTTACAGTACAAAAAGTTCTATTGTGAGATAGAGAAGAAATGAAATCGATGTAAAACGTTTGTTCCATCTGTTACTTACTTAAGAGTGAAACATAATTATCCATTGAAAGATTCTCTTAAAATTAAATTATTGATAAGACTAATCTTTCAAAGTTTAAAATGTCATTTTCTTGATATTTATATCAAAAATTTTCTTCTCTCATTATTTAATTATGTTAAATAGCCTTGAAATTTATATAATTTACAAAATGATTCCTTCCTTTTGCATGACGAAAAAAGTGACCAATCTCTATTTTCAGCACACGATATTATATAGCTCGTAAATAGGTTGATATATTATTTTTGTCTAGTAAAAATAAGACTTACCTATTATAGCAATTCCAGAAGAACTACTAATGAAACAACTAGTTATAACGTTCTGCGCGGCACTACGATATGTACCAACTAATTAAAAGAAATTTTTTTACAGGTCAATGAGGTCAGTTTAAGGTCGGACCGAAAGTTCTAAAGAAATTTCACCTCAGTCCGAAATTCATGTAACCCTTTGGTTATTCTAATGATCATGGAGGAGAGAATGACTTGACAAAAATTCTGTAGAAGTCCATCCGTAAATTTGATATAGTTCGACCAAAAAACGTCGTAGAGAGCTTGGAGACACTTCATTTTTTAGAGAATGGTTCGTTCTACCATTTCGTATGCTATGAGTAAATTTTGTGTCTGAGTTGTATGTGTTGAAAAACTAAAGGTTCGGTTTTCTGGTAAACTCGTTAGCAAAAACCTTTTGTTTCAAATTTGCGATTTTTTTTTGAAACTTATCAATTTTGTAACTCATCTTTTCTAAAGATGGAATAACTCAAAATAAAATTATTATCTTATTAATTTATAGTTTATAGAATTCACTACAAGACATATTCGCAAAATTTTTAAATTCCATGTTTTCCTTCATTTTCTACAATTGTCTAAGGAGTCCGACAGTTGCTCGTGGATGCGAGCAAATATTCTATATCCAATTGTTCATTATAGTGACCAACATGGATTAAAGGCTTAATATAGAAATTTTTAGTAAAACAAAATTGAGAAATATCTTGAAATCTGATTGGTTTTTTTTTTATTTATGTAAAATTCATATTATGTTTCAATTCATTAAACTCCGTGACATTTGATAATATCTTCAGATCATTCAAAAAGAAAAAAAGAAATACAAAACTTGAAAAAGAATAATATTTATTATTATATTCATTATATTCACGACTTTATAACATTTCTCCCATTTCCTATACTTTTCTGTCATTTCTCTTTGAGTACAACAAAGTGACAAATATACAAAAAAAAAATAATTGCACGGAGACACTAAACACTAAAAAGAATGTTAGCATTTTACCCAGGTCAGTTAAACATTACACACACACACACACACACACATGCACGCATACAAACGAAACTTTGGTTTTCTTTATTGTTTAACAAACATATAAAAGTTTAACGAAATTGAAAGACACTTGAGGTCTTTTGTGGTACATGTTCCAAAGTTAAACTTTGAAACCATTCAGATGAATTATGATAATAATAACCTTGTAGTTTTCCTGTACTCAATTGTAAACATATATAATAAAAGCCAGCAAATGATGCACCTAAATATAAATTTTTTCTTTTTATTCATAGAAAATAAGAAGAAAAACAAACCAGTAATATCTCTAACAGTATGATCAGGTACAAGAAAATGTTCTTTCCATCTCATAAAAACATAATCAGAATTTTTTCCTCTTAATAATTGATCATAATCAAATGAATCATTATTAAATGTATCAATAAAAGGTAAAAATGCATCAAATTTACTCCAATGTTGTTTATCAACTTCTTCGTCAGCTTCCCATTTACGTGTTAAAAATGGATAACGTTTAGAAATGATTTCAGCATCAAAAAATGTTGATAATATTGGATATTCATCAATTAAACCAGTTATTCCTAAATATCCACATATATATGAACGTTCTAAATCAACATGATGAAATATAACATCGACATTGTAAGATTTTCCTTTGGATTTTTGATTACCAGTAAATCGTGATGATGTACATAATATGGAAGAATTTTTATTCGGTGGACCCAAATTCATATCAGAAAATTCAAGAGGACCAAGGAGTTTCATTTTCTTTTAATGTAATTACACAGTAAAGGGATTAAATTATAGACAATAACGAACGAAATCTAGAGAACAGAACACACAACAAATAAACAAGAGAACTGCCGAGAAACAGAATAATAACCAATTAGATTTTTTTATAATGATAGAGTTCGCTAGTTTACAACCTTTTAAAACAAAAGTTATGCGTAAGCATCAGATGTGGGCACCGTTTAAGGCAAACAACCGTTTAAGGGAAAATATGGACACCATTGTAGAGGCACATGGAATCATTCAATGGTGACTGGTTTAGCACAAAAAGCTAGCCATAAATAGAATATATGGACTTTTGAAAAATAGAATTATGTATTATTACTTCTGTTTTTATCATAATATATTCATTTTTGAGATTTTTAAGATCACATTTAAATGTTCAACTTATTCTACCGATTTACTCCTGTGTTTTGATTGAGATATTTGTTTAGTGCCGAATTCAAGTTATCCTATGAGATATGTCGACTCGTCTCATGAGATAACTCGAAATATTAAGAATAACTTGCTCAAACCTACGAGGCAACTTATCTCATAGGACAAGTCGAGTTATCTCATAGAATAAGTCGAAATACTAGTTGAGCGAGTAAAAATACTTCAGTTAAAAGAAGCGACTTATCCTATGAGATAAGTCGACTCTTGTGACTGAACTACTTTTTTTCAGTATTTCGAGTTATCCTATGAGACAAGTCGACTTACCCTATAGGATAAGTCAAAATACTAAGTGAACAAGTGTAAATGTCTCAATTGAAAATAGTGACGAATCCTGTAGGATAAGTCGACTTGTCTCATAGGATAACCCGAATTTTTGGCAAAATGGAATGCCTCGATGACAAGCTACATCTGTTTAAATTTATAAAAAATTCTGTATTAATTTATTTTTTTTCAATTATTGACATATTTTTAAAAGTAATTTAATACACCGAGATGTGTTCCAATTCATGCAACCAATCAGATTTAACATTTGTGCCTCTATCATGGTGTCCGTATTTTCCCTTAAACAGTTGTTTCCCTTAAACGGTGCCCACAATCAGAGCTAGACATAGGACATAGATGTCCATCGCAGCTGAGAATCTGTCGCTGCAGCAATAGTTTTCAAAAAAATTTTCGAAAATCCCTGGCATCACTGTACTGAACTAGAACTGTTGATATGAATCTGTAAGATCCATCTAGTCTCTGAGTGTTACACTTATGGATACCTGAATCCTGTGAAAATCCACGACGTTTTGCAATATCTTTTAAGAAGAACCTACCGCCGCGCCGCGGTGAATTTTAAAAAAGAATGCCGCTACCGCATCCTCAACGTCCCAGTGACATCGTCACCATGAGCATTTGTGGCATAGGACACAGATTATAGTTTTGTCCTGTGCTGTGCTTAGCCCTGGTAATGATATAGACACAATGAATTCATATAAGTCTTAAAATCTGATCTTTCTTTCTTGAACATTACAGTAAAATATTCTAGTATTAATTGAGTCTATTAGAAAGTTTGATACTTGAATGATCGACTATCTTTTGAGTAGCATTCAACCACGATATATCGGCGGTAGTGTAAACAAGCGTGCAACGTGGGCATTCAAATGCTTTGAAAGATTTGTGTTGAATGATATTTTGCCAGAACTTGGTAACTTCGACAAGATGTCACACCGACTCTATTCCTGTTTCCGACGTTGCTTCAGTTTCAACCTTAAGTTTTTTGAATAGCTTAGAGATATTCCTACGATCCAGAAGTTGGCAATTCAAGGGATTCAAGACATATCAATATATTATATTTACATCAACTGACTCTGACCATCATGGAAATCAAGCAATTCAAGAAAATCAGTTGATATAAAATATATCGATATGTTTTGAATTCCTAAATTTTCCTTGAATTACTAATTTCTGGATCGTGAGAACTGCTGTACATTATATACTATTTTGAAAACAAGTCAAATCATGTATGTTGTGATATTACACTTTAAATGCTAATTTACAGTTTAACATAGAAAAGAAAATGATTTACGATTATTTGTAATTCTTTTATGTATTTGAGATGAGAATGCGCTGTCTCCAGTATGCTATTTCTTGTTTATCGTGTGTTCAATCACAATGTCTATCATTATAATGTTATTTTTTGCTTCTCCCGAAATGCATCATAAGGATAACAGGAATCAGAGTTTCGAATGGATTGTGTCCAATAATAGAAAGTCGACTGATGTCTTATCGCACTACCGATTGATCTATTTATAAATCATTAAATTTTTATTCAGTTTCAGTCATAATTCCTTTCATATAATGAGATACGCAATGCTTCCAGCTCAGTGGAACTGGATCGAAAGTTGACAAACAATTCTAACACAAATGCTAACCAACTCTTTTAATAACAGCTGAAACTGGTCATATTTTCATATAAGAGAAACTGATCAAAGCATACAAAAAAGATGTAATCAATAGCTATTCGATCAGTAGAACTTCAGTATGTTGAACTAGAATTGATGCGCATCTGTACAAGATTAATCATAATTAAACACCTTTCAATATAAATATTTGACTAGAAAAAAAAGAGATATGAGAACATTATTTTATCTAAACAAATTAACTTCCCACAAGAACAACAAATATTATAATTAAAATTAGAAATAATCATTGTTGCGGATACACTTGCAGGTCAGAGAGAAATTGATGCATTATTTAACTAAGTGAGATATACGGTTTTTAGTACTTCATCATGAGAAAAGAAATTTACTTCTATTAATGGATCTATCTCTTTTTTTATACACTTGCTCTTTGCTTTCAAAAAAATTAACCATTCAATAGAGTAAATGTTGCTTCTGCAGCAATGGTCAAGTTTGCACAAAATCTCAGCAAAAAATCAGTTTAAAAACCGATAATTTTTAGTCAAACATCGTATTGACCTATTCTAGTCGATTTAGAGCTCTGATGAAAATGCAAGTTTGAGAAAATATGAGATCGTAATAGTAAATTGCAATATTCAATGCTTATTAAATACCATATTTTACTGATTTCTCAGATTCATTTTATCATAAATCACTCGTTAATACGTTTTATATCAAAAATTATCTACACATATACATATATGAATAAATAAATAAATAAAAGTACAAAAAATAAAATATTCGAATCTATTTTGGAGTAATTGTTCCACTATTTTTCGACGACATTTTACGTCGATGAGCTAAACGTACTAAAAACAAAATTAAAAAAAAAAGAAAAACAAATTTTAAAATTTATTTCACATAAATATAAACACTTACAAGCATCTTTTAATGCTGGATGTGCATATATCATTGCTTGTTCATATGTCATTAATTTATCAGGTTCAGGTGGAGGTACATGATGATGTTGAAGATTTGGTGATGGTCCTGTAACCATTGGTTTTATCATAGATGAAGGATTATGATTTGTTTGTTGTCGCTGTTGTTGTTGTCCAATATTTAATGATGTTGATGAAGCTACTGATGATGGTCGTGCTGGTGAAATTGTCTAGACAAAGAAAAAAAAAAGAAAAGATATAATTTTATGAATAAAATAATTGAAAATTTACTGATTGATATTGTCGAATATTTTGTTGATATCGTTCATGATCTTGATGAATAAATTGTTCGTGTCCTTGAAAAATGTTTAATAATTCTTTATTTATACGTTTAGTTTCTTCTAATTCCATCATTCCTTTTTTTATTTTATTCATTTGTCTTAACTAAAATATAATATTAGAAAAAATGTTTTTTTTTTTTTTATGAAATTTTACATATTCAATTCTATGCATCATTAATTGATTCCATTTTGCATCTTGATAATCAAATACCTATAGAAATTTCATTTCTTTTTAATAAGATTAGAACAAAAATAATTTAAAAAAAAAATCTTTTTTTTGTTTTTTACATCAAATAATTGTTTATACATATTTGAATAAAGTTTATAAACTTGTTCGCGTACTTGTGCTTCTGTTACATGTACTAATTCATAACGTGATATGAATAAAACTTTTATTTGTGGTGGTAACTAAGAGAAAAAAACACAACTAATCTTCTTAGTTTATATATAAATAAACTTACATTTGAATTAATCGGATAAATATGTATCGATTTTGAACATAGAGCACATAGAAAATTAAAAAAAAAACAAAAAGAAAAATTCTTTATAAATTATGTTTTTTTTTTCATTATTTACAATTGTGGCCATTTATATTATGCATGGCACAATCTCGACAAATAATATGACCACATGGATGACAATAACCAAGTGATAATCGAGTATTATTTAAACCATTATGTTCACGTCGTTTACATATTTCACAATGAACCCATTCAGGTACTATTAAATTTGTTCCTGATAGAGGTGTCTTTGTTGTCTCCGATGAAACTAATTTTGGTGTTGGTGCACCAATACTATTATTTAACATTGATGAATTCAAATCCTAGATTTTTTAAATTAAAATAGAAAATTATGAAGGAAAAAAAATGATTACTACTAAACTACGACTAACAGTTGAGGTTAATGTTGCATTTAGATTCATTAGAAGAGATATAAATTCAATTGATTTTGGATAGATAAGATAGATCGTTGAATTTACCGCCAAAGAGGCTAATAAACTTTTGAATGATTCTTATTTTTCAATGGATATTATGTTTAAATATACCTAAATAATTAAAAGAATGAATGAAAAATAATAAGAAATATTTTATTTAAATTAAAAATTTATAGAGGACAGCACTAAACAATGAATAAAAAATAAATTCTTCATCGTTTCAAAGAAATCATTCAGAAAACACAGTCTAAAAGCAATGAAACTCGAATCTTGATTGGAAATTAATGTGTCTAACGAAGAAAGATCAACCGCTGATTAATCGCTTTTCAGTCAGGACTATAGTCTAGAACCCGTCGGATCCAAACTTTTCAGATCCGGATCTGTCAGGTTCGAGTTTACGACTAACCCAACGGTCATTACTTTATGCGTCATGCAAATTCTAATGAAATATGAATATCCTGGAAGGAGTTCAAGTTCTTAGCTTATTGCTGCGGAAATACTGCGTTTTCACAGTATTTTTTTATGTCAATGTTGTGATCTCGTCGCTCAAGAACATTAGGGAAACTGATTTTCATAGTTCGACTTGAAATTTTGTATAGAGACAGACCTTAATGAGAATAGTATAATGACAAAGTTTCAAGTCTTTTGATTTGTTCATATCCTAAAATAAGAACATCGAATGTGTTGGTATGTTTAGAAGCGATATGAAAGACATGCTGATATCACAACGATCTCTTAGGATGGAAACAATAAAAATATCTGAAACTTTTATAATAAATTATTCTCGTTAAAGCCTGTCTATATGCAAAATTAGAAGTCAGCATTAAAAAAAAACAGTTTTCTTGATGTTGTTGAGAGAAACTACGATATTAATTCGAACCACATCATTGAAAATACACTATCTTCATAGCGTTAAACTAAGAACCGAAATTCTTCTCAAAATATTCATAGTTCATTAGAATCTACAAGATGCACACAGACCTAACTCGAAAACAATTAATCATTTAGAAGACTTCCCTCGTAAGCATGAGTTTTTTAAAATATAAATTTTTCTTATTTATACAGAAACCACAAAACATATAATTTGAATTTATAAATAAATAATCCTATCTTCTTTGTTGCTTTTGTTATTTAATCACAAGGTTTCATTTAGTTAAAATACTAATGACATGTAGTATTGACTATAATTTTATTGCATTTAATTACTCAAACATGAGATCATTAAATGAATAAATAAGAATATCCATTTTGAAACTTATATATATTTTTTTTTTTCGTAGCTATATAGAATATTGTTTTATCGAAATAAAAAAAAACATCACATATGATAAGTAACAAAAATAAAATGAAAAAAGTTTTTCGTCCTGTTTTGTTTTAATAAGAAAAAAGACACCGGAAAGTTATCGTAAGCAAATCTAACAAAAAAAAACATCTATGATTCATCAATTGTAGAAGTTATTGTTTGTTGTTGTTGTTGATTGAGTAAAAAATCGATTGTATCATTAATTATTTGTAAACGAGTACGAAATGATTGTGAAATCAATGCTGTATATTGAAGATCTGATTCAATTGGTAATAAATTTAACATTATCCAAGCCCAACTAGGTCCATCAGCTAATAAAGAATAAAATTAGAAATTTCATTTGTTTTTTTTTGTATTAAAAAACCTATTAATGAATGTTAAAAAAGATTCTAACGAGAAATCGCTTTCTCATCGAAAGCTAATGGATTTCATGGATATCAACTATGCGGATTTCGAATAGGATCGTAAGAAATCTTCTTAAGGCTTCGTATGCAGGTTTTTCAAACTAACAAACTTTTTGTTTTAGTTTCAACTTATTTTGTTTTTGTAGAAAAATTAGATTCATTTTTTTGTGACAAAAATCTTTTCTTCGGCGGTCAAAAGTGTTATTAAGATTTTCTAGTTTCAAAGGCACTATTATAAAGAGCATTTTGAAAAGTAGTGCATTTTGTAGAACAGACATTATTCTATTGAATGAAAGGTTGTGCCCTCGTTTACAATGTCTCTTGTACGAGATATAATGAGTGAAGAACACAGAATAAAATAGCTGGAAATCATCTATCAAATTACTGCTGTAATTTAGAATTGTGATATTTCATGCAAGGGCATTGTATAGAAGGACGGAATTTGTCATTCGATAAAGCAAGGTCTATTCTACAAGATACATTAATTTTCAAAGTTTTGAACTTCCACACTGAACGCTCAATTATCTCAATTATTAATATATTGTGAATTAAATTCTATACGAATGTTAAAAAGAAAAATATAGTATAACGAGTTATTACGCAACAAAAAATATATAGCTTTAGTTAGTAATTATTGTGTGTAGTGATTTTTGAAAAATGTTTTATAACAAAATGTAAACGATTCAATTCTGCATCTAATAATATATAGTAGAATGTTTTACGTCCTTTTATGTATATACGTATAGTATCTTAAATTTTTAACCGCTGGTAGAGCCCGTCGGATTGATTCTGGACCCACTCGAATCCGAAAAGTTTTGACCTAATGGGGGCTGTTTGTTTGAGAATGGGTACGATGCTTGAGTCATCCGGAAAAAAGGTATCTCGTATATTCGGGAAACTATCCAATTTAGATTAGAATTATCAAAATACGACTAATAAATCGGGTTCTAACAGTCGGAGAAAAGAGTTCTGTCAAATAAAATGAAGCTAACTTAGCAGTTTTACGATTCTTAGTCTCTGAAATTTTTGTAAATAAATATAAATGTTTACTTGATTCATGAGTTAGATCATCACATGGTGGATAACCTTCTAATTGACGAGTTAATAATGTCCGTCGATATGCATCAAGTTGATCAAACCAAACACGTACACGATTATAAGTATTACGATTAAATTGATATAAATCTAATATAATACAAAAAATAAAATAATTGAAAAAGAATGAAAATTTTCAAAATAAACAAACCATCAAATTCATCATGTGTAATTGAATGATCTTGGATAAGTTGTATATGTGCTGTGTTGTATCCATCTCTTATTCCACGACCAATAACATGAAAACGTCGTTGACCTATTGTATCAACTATTGAACGACCATCACGAGTATAAACAAGACCACGTATAAATAATAATGTACCATAATCAGTAAATGCACTAAAAATATGTTTTTCTTTTGTTTGTCAAAAAAAAAAATTTATTATTATTTTCTTACTCTGTTTCTTGAATATATTTACACATGCCAAATGTACGTGATTGAGTTTCAATTGTTCGACGCATCATTAAACGATAACGTGGTTCAAATACATGTAATGGACATGTACAATAAGGTAAAGCTAATACACATACGAATATTGGAATTTCAAATATACTTAATTCAATATTATTTATTAGTAATCTAGGAATTGATGCTCTAAAATTGAATAGTTTTTCTCAAAATAATTCTATTTTTATTTTAAAAAAAAGAAAAAAAATATATATATATAAATTTTACCCTTGAATATTTTCTTGTTCATATAATTGTTGTCGTTCATTGAATTCATTTGGAAAATAACTTTCAATAATTTGTGATATAATTTCAGTTTTATTCACATGTGATTGTATTAACATAGGAAAAAACTTTAAAAAAAAAATGAACTCTTTACCTTCTGTTGAATTATTTTTTAAAACTCATTCATATATTATCTATTTAAAGTGATAAACCATTAAGTCAAGACGGTTTCCGAATATGATGTAGAACGGTGGTTTTTTTTCTATTTAGTTACCTGGATTGATTATTCTAATGTTTGCCAGATTGATATATATATATATATAGCAGAGTAGTTTTTAAAACTTTCTTGACTGCAGATATGAAAGAAGCATTTTTAATACGTTTGTAATGTGGAATATGAAAAACGGTTTTCCTAGAATTATTTAATTTGCAATATCAACTAAAGATGTACAGGATTATCCTACACTGTAAAAAAAAATGTATCATATCACGTAGAGTAAATATTAAAAAGTTTTTCTCAGTCGAAATATAGGATACGACAAACGACTAGCGCGATATCTTTAATATAAACTTGTAAATAACACAATCTGGATGATAATGACCTTAACTATAGGAATGAGTGACTTCGCATTGAAATTACAACTAATGATCTCATGTGATAAAAAGAAAATGAAGACTAATGAGTCTAACACGACCCTAGAAATGAAAAACCTGATAACTGCCTTTGCAAGTGTCTAACTATATATTATTCCTCGAGATGATTCATTTTTCAAAAAAATAATTCATGCTACATATAAAATAACAGCATAATTGCCAGAAAACCCAAAAAAACATCATATTAAAAATAAATAGAATCTTTATGTCATTCAAGATAGAAATGTTCATGACGGTGGCGTCGTGTCGGCTGCAGCTTTTTTAGAAAGAAATTTCAAACATACATAAATTTGCACAGCATACCGGTGTTCATATATGTTATACTGTAAGACTTAGCAAATCTGCTCGATTAGCAACAGCAGTTCTAGTTTAAAACAGCCGCGGCAGATTCTCACTCGCGATGGACATCTATCATTCAAGGCTAGAGGTTCATTTATGGTCTATTCTACATCTCTACAGTGGAATGGCTTGGTCCGAATTTAACTATATCAGCACCTGCATCAATTCTACTGAATTAGTATCATTGGGAGTAATGGGTTTAAAAACCTGTAAAGAAATAATATTTCATCAATTTCCTTTGAAGTACACTTTAGAAATCACTGAATCTTGGAAGCATGAATACAAATACAAATTATATGGATATTAATTTCTTGTTTGCTTCTAAGACTCAATAATTTCTGGTGGTTAATGGTAAGTACCAAGGTCAAGGAAATATTTAAAAAAATTTTTTTTTTTGTTGAATAACCATCAAGAAATAACTCAATCAATTCATTAAAATATTTGAAAATCAAATATCTCACACATACTTCTTCTAATGAACTTTTACACATTGGACATTGAACTTGTGTATTATCTATAGAACGTATAAGACATTCCCGACAAAAAACATGACCACATGGAGTTGTCACTGGAAACCATAATAAACTAAAAGAAAATTAATTTCATTAACATAGCTGTAAAAACCAAACGAAGAATTTATTATATTCTATACTTGACACATATAGAACATTCAAAATCTCTTGCACGTAAATATTTACAATCCAATAATGTACAAAGACATGATGCTGATGCTATATTTATATGAATAAATATTTAGATACAAAAATAAAACTCATGATGAGCTTACATGTTGATCTGCACATGAGTAATTTAATATCTGTCGTACCTGAAAGAACATTAATATAATCAAATAAAAAATTATGGAAGAAAAAAGTTGTTTTTTTTCTTATTATTTTATCTGTTTAAATATTTAATTAGACAGAAATAGATTATGTTTTCCTATTCTGTTTATCTATTATACACTGAGAAAAAAAAATGAATATTCGATCAAATTTGTTTGAAAAAGTATCATTTTATCATTAGTAATGTCATATATTTCATAATTACATATATTACTAGTTAAGAAAAAATTGATACATAAATTGCTCAACATAAGACTAATAACACTTGTCTAGATTTATATAGACGTAGTTCTTAAGCATATATATATATATATAATAATAATTAGATTTATTCTCACCAGAAGTTATCATTTCCTTGATATTGTCATTTGTTGATAGAAGTATGTTTGATTCATTTTCTGTTGTTATTGCAGTTTCTTGATTATCATTATCGTGTAGAATAGCATGAAGATGCTTTAATAAAATAAAATATTAAATGAAAGAAATAATAAATAAAATTTTTCTCACTAACTCGAGCCATTATTCGTTTGCCTATATGATCATCAGGGTCGATTGAAAGTCCTTGTAATGATGATAATAATGCAGCTGTACAACGTTTCATTTCGAATAAAATTTCACTTCGACAATAATAACCCTTACAAAAGAATCAAAACAGTTTTCTTTCGATGAAAAAAAGAAAAAGATTTCTTACTTTTGCCCAATGTGGTTTAAGTTGTATAACTCGATCAATATCAATAAGAGCTTTATCAAATTCTTTTAAAGTTATATATGTTTTAGCTCGACCATACAATACAATATGATCATCATCATCATCTTAACAAAAAATAAATAAATAAAGAAATTAGTAAACTAATAAAATGACTTCTAAGAATAATTTTTCTTACATTGTTCTAATATATTTGAATAAATATCAATTGCTTGTTGATAATTGTTATTTTCATATTCATTTTGTGCTCTATGACATAATAAAATATTTTCACATTTAAATTTTAATTTATCTATACGTTCAATAATTTGTTTAAGAAAATGATTTTTACTATAAAATTTTTCTCTTGCATGTACAATTGGTGATTGTATTTGTCCTTGAATATCTTTTGAACAACGTAAACAATTTATTGATAATAAAGAAAGTTCTTTATCTTTAATACATTGTTCACAATATGTATGACCACAATAAAGTGTTATAGGTTCATATATTAAATTTTCACAAAATAAACAAATCAATGGACAAGTTGTTATTAATGATATTGTTGATGACATTTGTTGTATAGCTATTTGTTGACAAATTGGTTCAAGTTCAGTTATTGTATAAGATAAAAAACGTGTACCAGATTGTTGAAGATTCAATAAAAATTGATGTAAATGAATGATAGATGATGATTGTTTTATTTTTGATAGAAAGTTTTTTCGATGATTTTGTTTTAATTTTCGTCTATGATATCGATAGTGAGATTTTTTAAATAATTGTTGATAATTATGATTAGATAACATTGTTGATTGGACTGAAAAATGACGAACATTTGAATGTAGATTATATGAATAATTATTAAAATGTTTCGTTTTTTTTCTGCATAAAATATATTTCTTGAAATAGAATAAATCGACCTCGAACAAGAAACAACTGGTTACGTGAGCACTGTCTATTCGCTCGTTCTTTATTTCTTCTCTATTCTCTCTCGTTTTAACTGACATACTTTTTCTACTTTGCGCGCTTTACCCTCTTTCTATGTCCTTGTTCGAATGATTACGACATCACATATATATATATATATATATATATATATATGTTATAGACCATGAGACGATTATGTAACTCTTTTTTTTTGTCATAACGTATATTGTAAACGAGAATTCGAATGATCCACTTTATTTTTCTTTTTACCAATATATAAAAAGAACTAAAAAATCATAAACTGTTGAAATCATTCATTATAATCAAAACAATGAGTATCATCGCCTATCTATTTATTTGATTATATGAATCTGTAAAATATACACAGAAAATTAAGTTTATAGAATCAAAAACCAAAACAATTTCTTAAAGAATCAATAAAATACACACTAAATTTTCCATAATATAAACAAAGGGCAAAATAACCACAATAAGCATTATATAATCAACTAGTAGAGAATGTGTCTTTTCAGTACGATTGGAGGGTGAAAGAATATAGAAAACTATAAATAACTAATAATATTTACAATGCAATGTAAACATGTCATACTGACTTTTTTTTTTTTTTTTATAAATTGATTGTTGAAATATTACTATTTATATACAAATTAGATTTTATTAATAATATTAATAAATTTTTATTTACATCTAAAAAAACAGAAATAATTATTGGAATCGAATATTCTGCTTATATTATATTCACACATATGAATAGAAATTAGAATAAAGCAAAATTTATCTACACAGTAACTTTGCAGATAGAAACCAACCACATATATATAAACAGACGAGAGAAAAAAAAGGGATATATATATATATCAATTGAGACTTGTTAATCAATAGAAAAAGAGAAAAACAACATAAAATATATATATTCATTTTCGTAATTGTTTACAAAAATTTGAAGCAACATGACATCCTTTAGTAATAAATTTATTTTTAAATACATCAGATTTTTTTCTTGTTAACATTACTGATGATGGTATATGATAATTTTGTAATGGTAAATAATTAATACCGTCGGGCATTGAACGTGATGCTTGTCGTGTCCATTTATCATGTCCATTTATATGAACTAATTCAAGATACCAAGAAAACATTTGATTACGATCAGCAAAACGAAATGATATACCAAATGGTAATTCTGTCTGATTTGATTGATTAATATCAGGAGGTAAAATTGTTAATACTCGATATTGACTCATATCAAATGGATCAACAAAACGACAATCAGTTCCAATATAAAGATAAATATCTTCAACAGACCATGAATAAATGATTGGTTGTTGTTCTAATTCTTGTTGATTAAAATTTAATTTTGTTTTAAGTGTTTTATCATTAATATTATTTGAAATTCGATAAATTTTAAGCTAATTAAAAATAAATAAGAGAAAAAAAAATAATAGATATTATCCTTACTCATTGACATTGACAATGATAAACGGAAACAAACTTTTCTTTCTATCTCTGTTTTAAAACTCATAGTTAATCTTATAAGAAGAAGGAATAAAAAAAGAACGCTAATTGTCACATGTTAATTTTTAAGTCAGATTTTCTCACTGGTTATTATTATTTTGTACTTTGGAAAGAACGAAAGAACATAGAAGTACAAAGTTTAATAGAATCTACGTTTTTATATTATTACACACATTCTAAAAATATAACCACTGAGATTTTAAGTATTTTCATGATAGATGAATGTTTTCCAATATGAATTACGTGACATTTTTTTATGCTATATTAGGGAAATATACGTGCTTAGCAAAATCAAGAGGACAAAGCATAGAATTTTTTTTGTATTGAGCAATGGAATACTAAAAAGAAATAGAAGAAATATGAAACATAAGTGTGTTGGATAGCTCCCTAGAAATCTACTATATGGAAGAACTAATGCATAAAAAAATGCTCATTTTATAAACATGAATCCAAGTGTATAATGTAAATTCTCGAAGTGAAATCAATGAAAATTTTCATCATAGATTATAAAGATTTTTGTCGATTAATATTGGTATTGGTACTAGTCTAACAAGAGAATTGCGCTAAGTGATATATATGATTCAATTCAAAATATAATGTGCTTTACTATTTTTTGAATAATTTTTTGGATAGGAACATCATAAAGATCTGCAGTTTTCATTATTCAAGAGAGAATTTCAGAGACTATCGAAATATATCAAAATTTGATGAGTCAGCAGTTGACCAATCAAGGCAGTTCTTAGTAGAAATTTCTAAAAACGATATTCTAAACCTATTTCTTTTTCGATTTAGACTTTTAATACGGCTAATCGGTCTACGCAAAGGCCGAGCTTCTTCCATTCGAGAGTTATAAGACTTTTCCAAAGACCTCCACTTTCAGCCAATTGACCTATGATTACTCAACAAAACAACTAGATGTGAATGATTCACTGTGCTGAGTCAAATGATAATATTTACTTTTAATTTCGAAATAATTCGACTCTTTTATTTCAATATTTCTGAAATTTCACAATCCGCCTTCATGTAATGACAGCGCCGACATTTTGAAACTATTCAGATAACAATATTAGATCATGGTCGAATTTCAAAAAAAATATCATTATTGGACTCAGTACGGTGAATCATTCATATCTAGCTGGTTTTTTCGAGTGATCATAGGTCAATTGACTGAAATCGACGATTTCAGGAAAAGTCTTATAACTTTCGAACAGAACAAGTTTAGATGACTATGATAAAAGTTTTATGGAGATTTATTTTGATGCTTTGAGACATAAACACAGAAGATTGGTTTTAATATAATAAGAATATAAAAATGATGCATATAACATAAGTCTGAATCACGAAATTCATTTCCGTCTTATGTGTTCTTCTCATAAAAATAAATTACTTGACCTAACTCAATTCAATCCAAGCGCAAAAATATAACTATCATTTCTATATTGTTTCATGATAAAATGAATCGACCCAATGCTCAAATAGAAATTGTATTCCCCTTCAATTAAATATTTAAAAATGAATTTTAATTATATATAATCAATATTTAATCTAGTTGCTTCCAATGATATTGCTTAGGCTTCTATCATCTATTATATATGTAGAGAAATTTGAATTTTCTAGAAATTGAAATTTATCATTCCCTTAAGAGATCACCGATTTTGGTCACCATGAAATTTCAAAAAATTATCTAATTATATCGTAGAATAAAATAGTATTTGTTTGCCGATAGAAAAACTTACAACTGCTCTTTCAAATATCCATAAACATGGTGTCCATCGTTCATTTAATGAATCAAAATATTCACATTGAACTAATTGATTATTAAAATCTTGTTGTCGTTGTTGTAAACGTTCTTTTTCAAATTGTATATAATTAAGTTTAACAACAAATGTTGCTTGTAAATTTAATTCATGTGATAAATATGTTCGATAACGATATAAAACTTCTGATATATTTTCACATGAATACATTGGTCGTTCAAGATTTTGATCAATAATTACTTCAAATAAAGTCCAAAAAAAACAATCATGTTTATCAATTTGTTTTAATAATTTATCAATAATTATATCAGCTGTTGTTTCTTTTTCAAAAATAAACATTGCATAACCATTAAACGCATCGGCACGAGATTCAAAATAAACTGAAACTATTGCACCATCTAATTTACGTGGAATAGATGGATTATTACGTATTGATATTAATGCTTCTATACATGTTCTTTCATGTTCATATTCATCATCAGTTATATCAAATAATTCACGATAATATTTACAAAGATTAGTCATTATTTCAAAATTTGCTTGAATCGATGGAGCAACATGAATATAAGCTGGTGATAATTGAAATTGAGATAATGTTGAAATTGATGATAAAGACTCACGAGAAGCTAGAAATAGAAAAAAAGTTTTTCAAATTGACATTCAAATCAATCATGCAAAATAAATCGTCTAGAACATCTTTTGAAAGAATAGTTAATTTTAGGATATTTTAAAATTCCAGATTAGAATTATCTAGACAAAAAAGTCTTCATTCTATCTGAAACTTTCAACAAATCACTACAACCATTAAAACAATATATAGATAAAACTTTAGGTCGCATTCAATTTTTCGAAACATCACTTGTAACATATTATTCTCATGATTATATAAACATAATTGCAAAAGAAAGATATCAAGACTCATATCATTCTAACTTTTCTCATAATCTTTTTATATCCTAATTTTTTCCCAATTCCAAAAACAAAACAAACATTCTTACTATGAAAAGATCGATTTCGTTTAAGTTTTGTCAATTGTGGACTATCAGTAAGATTTGATAATCCTTGTTGAATAAGTTCATTTTGATTTGCAAAACGTTTCATATCCATATCATCTAATGATATTTGACGATCGTCATCGATTCCATTAATCGAATTCGTTGGTGCTAATGTTGCTTGTGATATAAGACATGGTGCAAATGTTGAAACAAGATTCGATAAAGTCATACAATTTATTTCAGATAACATAGCAACTGTATGAATATGCATTAACATTGTTCTTAATGTTGAATAATGTATTGGAAAATTTTTTTTTAAATCTTTAAGTAATGCACGATAATATTGAATTAATTGTTCACTTTTAATTGTCTTATCAACTGTTGAACGTAACCATGCATTATAATTTTCACGTGTACCAAGTAATGGCATATCTAATTGACGAAGAAAACGTTTTAATGCATTAGCAACATCATGTTCAGTATAATTTTCAGGTGTTAATGTAGGAGTAAATGGATCTTCAAGACATTCATTTAATAATTGTTTGATTTTACTTTCTTGTCCTGCTTGACGATAAATACCTGAATAAAAGAAAACAAAAAAAAGTGTTCATTATTAATTCGATAAAAATTTCTCAATGTAATGGAAAAAAAAATTTTTTTTTTTTCATTATTTTCAATTTTGTTTTTCAACAAAAGAAGAAACGATTGAATATTCAATAAATGATTTTGCTTTAATTATTAGTTCAATAATAATCATTTAAAATAGAAACTCGATAATAGAACTTTTGCAAACCGAACTTTCGCCAATTTGTGTGTAACTTTGGTATAGATTAGAAAAATTTATGCCAACTTAGGAATGTGCAGTTTCAATTTGTTGACTACCGACGTCACTGATTCAATGTAGTTTGAGTATATTAACTAGAGCCCAGCAGGTTCCAAATTTTCGTATCAGAGCTTGGTCAAACCGTACTTTGATACTCTCAATAAAATATTCTAATCGGAATTAGCTAGTCGTTCCGAAGATACGAGATAGTTTATTTTTTCGGCTTTTTTTTGCATTCGGTGATTAGTGCATTCTACATATTTCTTAGACGATTAGAAGCCGTCGGATACAAAATTTTCGGACCGGGACTAGAGCTCGTCGGATCCAAGAATTTCTCGAGTCGGACCCGGATCCGATCAGTAAAAATTTTAAGACCCGGGTGCGGACGCGGCCGATTCTAACCGGGACCAACCTGGCGGACTCTAACGCTGAAATACTGGCGTCAGTGTTCGCTGAAGCATTGGAACATACTGCTGCAAAAAAGAGCATATTCCGATAGAGATGATGTCTCAATACTGCAATGAATATCGATGTCAGTATAATCAGTGCAATCAGTGCCTCACGGTTTAATATTGACATCAATGTTGCATATCATTATATCAACTACATTCATAAGTGCAAGCATCAAGATATGTTTTCATAACATTTAGCATAGATCTTACGTACATATATGTTACATTCATACTGTTCAACGACAATTGGTGAACGTCTTATTGACGAACAGAAGGATTCCGTAATTTCTAATCATTTCTTTATCAATATATATATATATAAATTAAATAATCATGAATAACAACTTTGTCAGAAACTAGTATTTACATGTTAAATGAACATCGGACGTATTCAGTGTTTTATCTAGCATGGGAACCGAACGGACTTTGGTTCTCCGAAGATATAGCTTGATCTCCCAAGGTGTTTCGGTATTGTATTACATTCAATATGTTTATATGCTCAAAAATAGGTATTCGTCTGTTCAGAGTTTAAAATTTCGTCTTCAGAAGAGAAAATCCAGACAAAATACTGGATGTATTGTTCGAAAATTATTTTCTTTTTTAGTATTACTAATACAACATTTAAAAAAGCTTTTAAAGTTCAATAGCATCATCATCAGGTATATATCTTCATGGAAAATAAATTGATTAAATTGTTCTACATGCCTCTTTTTCTATCAACCTATAAAACTATCAAATCGCTGTTGCAACTAACAGCATACACAAATAAAACTGAATCTACGCATTATGTTTAATCTTTTCTACCAATTTCTTTCTTTCTTTCTCTAAATTATTTCATCTTTATCATATTTTAAATCTTAATAAGATAAAATAAGAATATAAAAACCTATTTACCTTTCGCTAATAAACCATGTTCAAAAAGAAATTTAATAAATCTTTCAACAATAACTGGTATATTTTGTGATGTTAATATTTGTTCATTTAAATTTGTTAATGTTTTAACTTTAATTGCTTGACGAAGACATGAATATAACATATCCATTAATTTTATAATAGGTGATGATAAATAAAGAAAACGTTTTGAAACAAGACAAAGAACAACACCTGTAAAGTCTTTTGTTTTTTGATAAGCTAAATTAACAAGATAAAAAAAAAATGAACAAATAAATCATAGAAAAAAATAAAACAAAAATTTACTTAAACTTAAATATTTTCGTAAATCAACTTCATCAAATATTGTATCCGAACAAATAACAAAACGTCCTGAATAAACAATACCTGTAACTTGTTGTTTTTCAGCATTAATTCCTTCTTGAATATTTAATTTCATTAATAAAATAAAATCTGAATATATTAATTGATAATAACAATATTGTCGTTTAATTATTTCACGTATCCATAATGAACGTTCAAGATCATTTGGAAAAATCCATACATATTCATTTGATGATGTTTGATCATCAACAATTATTGTACATTGACTATTTATATTAATTACTGGTGTATTTGTTAAACGACATCTTAATGAAACAGCATTAACTGTTTGATTACATATAGCAAGTACATTATTTAAATCAATTTCAAATACACAACGTTGAAGTTTATCTGTTTTAGAAGTTGGAGGATAGACTTTAAGACGATCATTTTCATAACGTGTTAAAAGTTCTTTAAGAACTCCATATCTACTAGATAAATAAACAATTGTTTCATTTACATCATCAAATTTTGTTCTCATTAAATCAAATTCAGCTATACCTAAAAATAAAATTCTATGATTAACATATATGTACATATGAACGAAAATTTAGCTCTTTCAATTGACTATTAATTAAAATTAAATCCATGTCCCTCAAAAAACCGATCTTGACCCAACTATATTCAAATCGCATGAAATTTTCAGTCCTATACCATGATATTTTTAGAAGATATTCAACTAACAAGGGTTCAAAATAGTTCATGTAACAATCCAAAATTCTCTGTAAGCCTTCATTCTATATACTTAATTTTCTTTTGTTTGAAAGAACATGTCGGGATGCAGGGCATGGCAGAGTCTATTCTTTTTAAATTCTTATTTTTTAAGGGTCTTGACGTGCTCTTTCAAACAAAAAAGAAAGCCATTGACTACAATGAAGCTATTTCGAGAATTCTGAGACGCACCGATCCAAAAAAAAAACCACATTTTTCAAATAGAAAATGACAGAAATTTTTGGAAGAAACACAATGTCAGATAAAAAGTCATGTCATAGTTGACTTCTTTTGAAATGAAGGAGCTTAATTAAAAAGTAATTAGTAAATATCTCTATAATCATATGAGAAAAAATCCAAAACATTCAGAATAGGCTCTACGATGTGAACTGTATATTTGGTCAAATTCTCAGCAAGATTGAACTGTAAAAAACCGATTTTCTAGAAATTCTGTCACAAGTCTTGAAACAAAAATTTCTGTCTTTCTATCATTTAGAGATTTTGAAAAAGGATTTGTATTGCTTGGAATTGGTTTTGAACTTCTCATTCGATTATAACAGCATTTTTTTCGTTTATATATTCGTACTCCGTCATGTCGCTAACGAATAATATTGTCTATATACAAAATTATTCACAATTAAATGTCTGATACAATATTAATGCTTGTCACGAATTAGTCATTTTAGAATCTAATACAATTTTTATATAGTGTGTACAAATTTCTTTTTCTTTATTGCAAATCACTGTTCTACATAGAATTTTCTTTTTTGTCGGGAAAGTGAGTTAAAAATTTCAGAAGACAATGATCAACTTTCACAAAAAACAATATTCTCACATAGTTTTTAATCCAATAATAACGTATAGAAATATCGTTCTATTCTAAATAAAACATTGTTTCAATTATGATAATGATATCAAGTATATCCTAGTTTTACGATTCAAATTATGGACAAAAAAAAACAGTTAATTCTATGATTTCATAAATTTTTTTCAAAATATTTCGATCAAAGAGAAATACAGCTGATATTTTAATTCTATTATTCTCATTCATTCTATCGTGTTTATGAGTTATACTAAGTACGTATAGTATTTCTATCGATTCATTGATTTCGAATGTTCGTAGTCAGTTGTTTCTCTCCTTAACATACATTTGTTTACTTGATATGTTTTAGAAGTAAAATTCAAAATTATCTTATTCACAGAACAAAAAAAGAAAAACAAACGAAATTTTTACCTCCATTCGCTAAAATAATTTTCATTTGCTTGATTTGTTGATGTCGTTGAGCATGATCTGCAATAGCAAAATTTTTTTCTGAATAATTTGGATCAGCTCCTAACATAATTAAATGTAATGTTTTTTTATAATCTGTTGTTTCAACATTTTCATATAACATTTTATTAAGTTGATCTTGTGTATAAGTAAAATGATTTGATTGATATGGTTGAAGATAAATTTTTTCAATATATTTTTTTCTTATATATTGTTTACGTTCAAATTCTGTTGAATTAATATTTGGTTTTGAATTTTTTGAAGAATTATTTTCTAATAAACTATTCGTAAATTGATTACCATAATCATGAAGTAGATCAATTAAATCTGAATCACATGTATTAGTCATCAATGATTGTAGACGAAGGAAATTTGAAGTCAAACGATGATGAATCGCTATTATAAATATAAAAAAATGCAAGAAAAACAAAAAAGAAAAACAATCAAGAATTGATATACCAGCACATTTTTTACATATTATCAAAAGCCAAGACATAATAGCAATCGTTGGATTTTCAGCATTACAATCAGCACATCGACAATTACTGGAATTTTCTCGTACTCTATCGAGATAAATTGTTGTTTGATCTTAATTGACAAAAAAAAAACGTAGGAGTATTATTTTCTAACATAATTAAATAGATTATGTGTGTTGTTATTTTTTTTTTCTTTTATGAACTCTTTTTAAAAGAATTAGTTTGTTTCTTTACTTGGTACAACTGAATCATCATCACTATATATTGATGTATTGGAAGAATTTTCCATCAAATTAGAAATTGAATTTAGTTTTGTATCCATTGATTCTAATGGAGAACTAAAGAAAACAAAATCTATTGTTAATTAATTCTTGTAATTTATCTTCAAAATATTTACCTTTTATTTAATTGATCTTTGAGTAATGATGGATTTTTTTGTTGATTGATATTTGAAATAGTTAAATTGTTTTTTTCGTGTTGCTTAAACAAAAAAAAAAAAAAGTAATTAATTCATTGAAATTCTTTAGTTAAAATTAACTAGACTAAATCTCGAATCAACTAATAAATATCTTTTTGTTTTTTTTTTAATTTTCACGTGAAATATTTAGCAGCTATTAACGAAAAGAAAAAAATAAAAGAGCATTACTTTTCTTTTTCTTTCTTTCATTCCTATGATGCAAAAAAATGATGTGCAAACATATACATATTTTTTTTACCCATTGATAAGAAACAAGATCATTGAGAAATTATTTACCGATAATAATGTTTGGTCTGACGACGAATGAGAACTTGAGTCATCATCAAATATTGAAGAAGTAACATAGAATAGATTTTTATCAGATATATTTAATGAATTTGAATAAATATGATTATTGTTATTATTATTTTCTTGTGGTAAACATGCTAAAATATTGTTTCTATTTGATGAATAAAATTTTTTTTGACGAAATACAACATTTGAATCATCATTCTTTACATTGTTCGATGAAAGTTGTTTACTGGAAACATGTGGTGGATTTTCAACAACATGAGAATCTAATTAAAAAATTCGAATATATAATTATAAAGATATTCGTACTAATGAATTCAAAATAAAATAAAACAAAACATGAAAAATAGACAATCAAAGACTATTAATTATGAACAATCATATTTACATCTATTTTACTGTTGATTTTCTATTAGAAGTTATTTTCTCGTTGATACATCAATTGTATGATATTTTTATTCACGAAAAATTGAATCTCATTCAAATTTAATTAAGACTCTTGAATTTAATTGTAAGTCTCAATATAACAATCAGTAGATATAGATCATGAATTAATAAAGTGTAATGATAGCGAATGAATTAATTGTTGAAAAAAAATATGCCAATGGTCATATGCTGAAAACTAGAGAAAATGTGTTTACAAAAATTTTGTTAAGAGATTGACGGTTGTGGACAGAAACGAGCACTATAATGAAGAAGCTATATTCGGCTAATGAAAACTGTTCAACCCTTACTCACTCCATTTCTTTCTTTTGGTAGGAGGACATTGATGCTCCTCTAAGAACGCATTGCCACTCTCTAGACAAGTTGCTAACGGTTATTCGTGTCGGATCATCCGTCCGATAGCATTCTAATTACGTTGTGGTATACAACAGCTCTTGTGGCTAGTTAGTGTATACAGGAAGTTCAAGCAATACTGGCCTTCTGTCAGGAGCTATAACTAGTCATAGTTATAGGAAAGATATCAAGTTAACTAACCTGTTTTTGAGCAGCACTCTATACCGCGAGGTACTCGAAATGTGGGGATTTTTTCCTTCCTGAGAGAGCGTCCCTAGGAAATCAACCTCTCCAATCGAAAGTTTCGAATATTAATACGTATTTAATATGAATATTCGACTTGAATACTTTTCTTCCTAACCCCTTTGCTCTATCATATTAAAATATAATATAAAATTCAATGATAAACATGAGTACGAAGTTGAAAGTTAATACTACAAAGTGTTAATTTCAAATTTGCTTTTATTAGTAAAATCAAAGATAAAACGTAACTCTCAATATCTGTACAAATACTTTATTTTTGTCTTAAAAATTATATATATATATATATATATATATGTAATAATTTACCCTCAAGTGGTACAGCATCATCAAGACCAATAGTCAAAGGTGCTTTATTTGTTGGTTTTACTTTGGTTCTAGCAATAGGTGTTGGTCGATTTTTTAGAATAGAATTCGACAGAGGAGATTCAGAAGGTAAATCTAACGAATTATCCATCTAGAATAAAAACAAAATTCACGTCAAACAATGAAATAGAAATCACCGTTGTGTATCGCTGAGAAAAAGAAAAAGTATTACAAAAACAAAAAAAACAAAAAACAAAAAAAAATCAAATGTTAACTTGTTGTTGTTGTTTTTTTCTAATTAGTTGCCCCAGATTGATTGTTATTTGACAAAAATTGTTGACGAATACGTTGTGCATCTAATGAATCAGCATTCATTATACATATAAGATCTTGCCAACGTTCATTATCACGTGTTTGTCGATAATAATTATATGATTGAAGATGTTTCTTTTTATGATATTCACTTTCTTTTTTCTCAAATTTCATTGTTACTAAACTTCCAACAGGTTCTGGTTTATTTTCTTCACTTTCACTACCAGATTGTTCACCATCACTTGTATTCATTTGATCTTCATCAATAAAACTTGCATCTTTAGTTAAATTTGAGTTAGTTGTTGATGATGATGTTGCATCCAGATAATTAAATTGTGGTCGAAATTGAATAACTGATTTTAACGGACAGATAATCAAATGACGAGTTATACTATCAAATAAACCAACGAAATAACGATCACCTAGAATAAATTTCTATGTATTATATTTCTCTTGAATTAGGAATTAAGGGAATTCCTGTCCCTTACTTGGAATTTCTAGAGAATGACTTATCAGAAAAATTTCAAATTTTCAAGATAAGTAGATCTTGATGTGTGGAGCAAAAGTTTCTGAATACTATCTTCTGAGATCACAATGGCAAAAAATGACTTACCCATTCCTCTGAGATGCTATGTTCGATCGAGCTGAAATTTTTTTTGTTCAAATACTAAACACTATTTGAGGTTTTTATTTTTCGTCCTTCGAATAAATATCGAATGTTGTTTTGAAAAGAGCTCCTAAAAATCAACAGAACAATAGTTTTTGAATACAAAAAAAATTCCCCTCCTAAACAATGTATAGTATATGTGGAAAAAATTTCAGCTCGATCGGACGTCGTAGATGTTTCTGGACTTTTTTTTCGCTATTTTTGTTACCTAAATTTGATTTTTTAACACTTAAAGACAATTTTTGAACCCAAAAATGTACTTAATAGATACCACTTCAGACTATACAATGGTCACAAAAAAAAATCTGGTTCACGAAAGGAGGATATCGTGAAAGAAAAATCTTCGATTACATTGGAATTTCTTACTACGAATGATAAAACGATTGCGAATAGTATTTTTGATCTACATATAGAGTTTACGGTCAGAAGAAGTTTTCTTGGATATATATATATATATGAATAGTACAAGTGTAGACGTTTATAATACAAATAAAAGTTTAATATGAAAATACAAAATATTGATATACAATCTGAGTCTTTTTAATACATGCTTGAATAACATTTAATAATAGGCCGTTGTAAGCTGCATCGACGGCATTTTCTAGCTTATAATATACTTATTGAACTATGCCAATAGACTGACAATAGTCCTGATTTTAACGTTAATGAACTGATCTGAAACATTGTTAAATAGAAAACTAAAGACCAGAATCGAAAGTCACAATGTGAACTAGAGAATGCATTTTGTATTATAAACGTCTACACTTGTACTATTCATATATATATATCCAAGAAAACTTCTTCTGACCGTAGACTCTATATGTAGATCAAAAATACGGTTCACAGTCGTTTTGTTCTTGGTAGTTAAGTTTTTTTAAAATATCTGTTGACGAAACTCCTTCTTTATTACAAACTACCTTTGTATATCGCACATCAACACTTTCCATCAGAGCTGAGCAAGTCAAGTCTAACTTGATTTTCTCAACTCTGAATATTCATAGCTCATGTAGGTCTATATAGTGCACACATAGTTTCGAGACTTTCAACTGATGTTCAATGATTTTGTATTTTAATTCGACTATTTTAAAAAAGAATCGTTCTATATGCTTTTATCTGAAAATTCTAAACTAAAATTAAAAACTTTTATCTCATTTTTGAGATAATAGAATCCTGCATTTGATTAACATCCTATTCAAGCTGCTCATGTAAAAATTAATAGAAAAAAAAAAAAGAAGAAATGAAAATTTCTAACGATACTATTTTCAATTTTAGTTTGCAACACAAAAGAAAAAGAAACACAAACTATTAAAATTGTTCTACACGTCATCGAATTTTAATCATACATAACTTTCATTCTATTGAGTAAGTCAATAGATGATGTTTACTTAAGAAAAATATTATGATATGAATGGACATGAAGAATTAAGACAAGTTTTTGTTGTTTTATTTTTCGAAGAGAAATAAACGTATACTCAATGAGGAATCTTTTTTATCTACACATACCATCTACTAAATCATAGACACAAGTGATGTACATACGGAGGGATAACGAACTAATCTCAACAAACAAAAAATGATCATAAGACATGTTATTTCTAAGATTTCAATAATTGTCTCGACTGTGATCAATAGACTTAGTTTTAGAAACATTGTTTTAATGAAAAGAAAAAATTTTCTTTTTTGTTTTTCTATTACCATCAGATGAATCCGATGATGCAATCATTTGTTTATCCATATGATCACTATTAAAAAATTGATTTTTATTCTCTTGATTTGTACTATCAGCAAATTGTTTTCCTCTTGCTGAATAATAATTTGATGATTGTGTATCAATAAGTAAATCCATTTCTACAAGTGAATATTTTTCTTTAATTCTTGCACTTGTAAATGCTGTTTCATCATATTTTCGATAATATGGTCGAATTGGATATTGAAATAAATATATAGATTGTTTTGTTCGATGAAGTTCAACATCAACTTCATATAAAATTTCATCAGTTTCATCGATATCCATTAATGAATGATCGTCTGTCATAATGACGAGCTATAGAAAATAATATTAATAAAAATAAGAAAAACAAAACAGAACAGTTTTTTTTTTTTATCGATTAAAAACGAACGATGATACAACGTGAGTCATTGTGGAAGCGATCAATGTGGCGACACGTAGGCAAGTTTTTTATTTGTAAGAAGAATTTAACCATTAAGAGAATTTCTTATTATAAAATATTTAGTTTATTTTAAAAAAAGATGTTCGAAGGATTACCTAATGAATATGATATTATTGTTGTTGGAACAGGTATTTTAATTCGATTATTTTTTTGTAATTTGTTCTAAAAGATTTTTCATATAGGAATAGTCGAAAGTATTCTTGCAGCTGCTTGTGCTCGTATTGGAAAGACCGTACTTCATATTGATACGTAAGATATTATGAAGAAAAAAATATATATAAATAATTTATTTTATATAGAAATGAATATTACGGTTCAGAATGGTCATCATTTACATTGAATGGTTTAACTGAATGGATTCAAACACAGGAAAATCCTGTGGTATATGGAGAAATAACTAAAAACTAAAGTTAATATATGTATATTTTTTCTTATTTTATTTTTATAGACAAATATTAATCCACAAGATGATAATGAAAGAATTATGCCAATTGGTAATCCATTAAATGTTTTTCGTAATATACAACTTAAATGGAATATTGAGTAAGAATAAAGATATATACAGAAGAAAAAAAACTTTATTTTGTCATTGTTTATAAAGAAAAACTAATGAACAATCATCAACAACTGAAAATGATACTCCAAAAATTACATTAGATGTATTGGAAAAACAGTCAAGGAAATTTAATATTGATTTAACACCAAAAGTTAGTACGAATAAAAATTTCTATTGGGATTTTTAACTAGTGTGTAATCTACTTGTTAAAAAAGCGTTACATTTTATTTCTATGAAAAGAACAAGAAAACAAAATTTTTCCTTTATTATCTCATTTTTTTATAATGTTAACCTTAAACTTGATTAGATATGAGTAAGATAGTCCCGGTTCTATCGGGACTAAAAAAGACTCGCCTCACGTATGTCTGAACTTGTTGCTTGCAAATTTAATCAATACAGCAATCGAGGTTTTGTATTGTACCAAGAAAATGCTTATTTTGATATTTGTATTAATAAAATATTGATTTTAAAGAAAAGCTTAAAATCTTTCGGAGAAAATTATAAAAAAAGGAAGAACAATTTAACAGAAATTTATGTAAAGAATTATACTATAATAAATACAATGAAGTTTCAAATAAAACAATAAATATAGAACACGAATAATCATCTAATGGAACTTTTGTCTCAACATAAATATACGAAAGATTTCGGTATATTTAAATATATGTACATATATATATTTATTTAGCTTTATTATGCAACTGGCGGTCTTATTGATCTTCTTATTCAATCAAATGTGGGTAAATATTGTGAATTTAAACTTGTTTCTCGTCTTTTACTTGAAAATAATGGACAACTTGATAATGTAATTTAAAGAAAAAATATTTCAATCAAAACGAAGACTTATGTTTATCTATCTAGGTACCAAGTTCACGAGCAGATATATTTAATTCAAATAATATTAGTCTTATTGATAAACGTTTATTAATGAAAGTTATTATGAATTGTTCATCAATGGCAATCGAAGATTTAAATGAAGGTAGACATAATTTATACAATATTAATAATAAGTTTTATCAATTAATTCTAGATGAAAATATTCCATTTATTGAATATTTAAAAAAACAAAAATTAAATGATACACTTTGTCATTTAATTATTAATTCAATTTCTTTGGTTGATTATAATGCAACAACAAAAGAGGTACTTTTTTATTTTTTATTTTTTTCTTTATAATTATAACGATTTGAATTTAGGGTATAATTAAAGCAAAACGATATTTAGATTCCATAGGACGTTATGGTAATTCACCATTTCTTTATCCACTCTATGGAAATGGTGAAATGAGTCAATGTTTTTGTCGTTTATGTGCTGTTTTTGGTGGTACTTATTTTCTACGTTTTCCATTAGCTGGTTTTACAATTGATTCATTAACTAATCAATGTTCTGGTATTGTAGCAACAACAGGAGAAAGATTTCGTGCTAAAGATGCTGTTATTTGTAAT